AGTGTAAAGATATAATAAAGCAGCCAGAAAAACAGTAACTCTGTTAATCAACTCATATTTCTCTCCAGTTTATGTGGAAACTGGTATCCTGAAGCCAGTCAGATTAGATTTTGTAACGTTTGCTCTAGATTAAAAATTATGTCTGGATGAACCTTTAATGACTTTATGAAAATGGAGCGTTAAGTGGATGCTGCTCATAGAAAGAATTAATTTCTCTGGATCTAGAACATGTTTGTAAGATCTAGTGGAGACTTTTTCTTTTTCCCTTTTTGATTAGAGCTAAAGTTAAATTTTATGAAATTTAAAGATCTCTACCTAGTGCGCCAAGCCGATGGTCTTTTGTGTGCCTTGTTTAATGTAGGTGAACCTGCCGCTAGCAGATTTTCAAGGTTCTCCCACTGCAAGTTCTCACAGATGGGCCCAACCCGCCTTGTCATCACTCCATCACCTCCTGTCCTGCAACTCGTCTCACCATGGCACCGAGCACCAATCGTCCTCCGCTGCCTGATGCCAGCAATTAGAGTCTGTGAGAGGAAATACCCTGCCGTTAAGGTCCCTCGAATCATCTGTGTATTTGTCTTCCTTGTGAATCAAAGGCAACCAGGAAAATTAACGCCAAAGGACATTGAGCCTGTACTTTATTAAATAGTGTCTTCAGCAGAAATCTAGGAGAGATGCAGAAAAAAAGTGAGACTCGTTCGCTGCTAGGCCCATATTGTAATACTAACACCAGGGAGGGTCCATGTCAAAAGACTGACACTTTTATTTGTGCTGAAGTAGATCTTTCTAACCTACTAGTTAGAGAGAGTACTGAGATTTACCCAAAGAGATTGTGCACTTTTTCCATAGTATATCCCTAAAGTAAGAAGGAATATTTTGGGAGAATCATGAAAGGTCTTAAAAGCACGTTTGCTTGTTATTCTGCTAGGGATTTTTTCTGCTACGTATGAGTAGTGACACTTGCTTTTATATGTAAAGTCATGTGTTCTGTGCTTTTTAATTGATCCAAGTTTGTACTAAATAACTAAAGTGTAGTATTCAATGACTTAAATCTTACTTTATTTTTAGAGCACCAACTCTTCTGAAAGTGTGTTCAACCAAAATACCACAGGGCAGTTCTTTTATGCACAGGAAAATTTTATTTATTATAATGCTGAACATTATGGACCAATGGTGTTAATATTTATTTAGGGCTAGACTAAACCTTCTGCCCTGTTTATGTGCTAACACATAGTTTCATCACCTCAAGAGAAATAAGCCGTGCTAGTCCCTGGCCAGATGTGGATATTCACTCTACCTCTCCCGCTGGCTCTGTTGTAGCAATGTTTCTAAGTCACAGAGTTCACTATTCCCTACAAATATTTGAGGATAAATTGGGAAATCATGAAGTAGGTTCACAAAGAGACTTAGGCAATACTTCTAATATTGACTTACAGTCATTTCACCTTTGTTTTGGAAACACGGCTCCAGAAATTGAAGTTAGCCCTGAATTAGGAACCTTACAGGGCATTCGTCATACTGAATATTAGTACCCATGTTAGGAGACATCTTCACTCTATAGTTAGTGGAGAGTTAACCTATACCATTCATGAAGTGTCGTGTGTGATTCACATCAGTAAACCAAATGTTGACATATAGCCAGGTGAACCCAAGGTTCACTAGCTGATTGTTTTTAGACTATAAAAGAAGCAAACACCACTAACTCTGACACAGACACCTTCATTATTGACAGATGAGATGAACCTTCCATCCCTCAAATTTCTTCATCGTTCATGGACAGTATTTGAGAATAAAAATCACAATAGTCGGCAAGGTAAGTGAAGGCATGGGAATGCATAAATTACTCAAAAGAAAGTTGGATGTATCTGAATAAACAGACTTTTGAAGCTGGTTGCTGGCCTGAATTCTTGATTTAGGTGCCATAGTCCCAGCCTTGAGTCATCTCTTGGCTTGAGCCATGATTTTCGCTGACTGTGCATGTTGCTTGAGCTTAACTTCTTCTTTAAAAAAGTTCTTTTCAAAGTTTTCTTTTTTTTCCACCATTGCCAGAAATGTCAACAATATCGAGACTTGTTAAAAATGCATTTCTCAGAAATAGCTGATGCCACAGTACATCATTTGCAATGCCCTAATTCACACAACTTGAAGCAACAGTGTACACATCTAGGCATGACTGACGTTCTGCTCAATACACTGACCATTTATAGATTTCTGCCAAAAGGACTCCGCAATTGCAGGTTTTACTGCACTTTCCACTGTAAAAAATGGTTATACAGCTCTGGAGTTATTAATTGACAAAAGTAGCAATGTTTTCACATTATGTTTGGCTTTGCTTTAACTCTAAAAATAGTATGTTTTTGTTGTGTGTTTTTTTTAAGTACTCCATCTGAAAGTTTGTATTTGACATAGTCAAAATTTACTGCATGTTGGAAAATATATAAAATTGAGAAAATATTTAATTTCAAGGATTAACAACTGCTATAAACATAATCAGTAATGTGTGAACTTCTAAGCTGCTTAAGCAGCTTGGTCCATTTAAGGATCTAAATGTTTGGTTGCCTGTAGCAAAAGCTTTTGAGACTACCAAAATATCAGGGGTCTGCAGAATAAAAAGTCTTGTAAAAACAGGTTTTTATTTATGTATATAAAACTTCTGAACCAGAAACATTGAAATAACAGCCTTTCTGCTTTCTTGTGTTTCGCATTCCGGTCCCAGATAAAATGGAATAGTATTAAGTAGGAAAGAGGGAGGTACAAGAAATTCTTATTTCAAATTCTCAAAAAGAGCAAAGATGTTTGACTAGACATTTTGAGTGCATTTTTAATCCAAATTCAATTTTAATACAGTGCTATCCAATCTCTTTACCTACTGTGTTATCATCATTGTTAGTAATAAACAACCCCTCCTTTTTGTTCTGTAATATTTTGTAATACATTTTAGTCTGTAATAACATAAACTAGAAAGAGTTAGATTGTTGATATCTCCAAATACATATTAAAATTAATATTTGTTTTGTTCTTTTACAGCAGATGTACAAATATGCTATATTCTTTTTTGAAGGCTTTCACAGCTTACTTATGGCTTTGTCATTCATGAGTCTTATGCAATGTCATTTTTCTGGTCACCTGTAAGCAGCAATGATTGAACAAAGGCTAGTTAAATTGCCAAATGTGAGACCTGAAAGTCTGAATCAAGAACCAATCGCATTTGAAAAAGATAGCACTAACTACCCCTAGAACCAAGCGACTTCAGTCAATAGACCTGATGGAAATAATCATCTCACTAACACATGCTTAATATTTCAAAAAAAGCATCATAACCTCATGAGCTGCAAATAATTAAACAAAAGCCAAACTGATTAAAAGGCAACCAGATTTCTATTCACACTCTAGCTTGTGCTCCTGTACATGGAAATGTCAGCAAACTGACTCCACATGGCATGAAGTTCCACCTAATATGTGTAATATTAAATATAAAGCTGTCTAAAAAAAACAAAACACCAAAGTCTGGGCAGGAAGAAGGAAGAGAGACGCAGATTCATATACATACGTACAGGATATAAAGCATATGTCAAAAATACATTTATTTCATACCATCATCAACATCGACATGATAGGTAGTTTCAACACTGAAGAAGTAAACTTAGAACTTTGAGTTTCATTTCTGATATTACAAGCCGTTAGCTATAGCAAACATTAGTGGCAGCTCTATTCCTCTAGCATGAAACTGGAGTCATCATGTCTCTTTGCCCCAAAGATTTTTTGATGACTTTCAGATAACTTTTAATCTTGTATGGTACATAATTGCCAAAGATGTTAAAAAAACTGTAATGTTGCATGGTTGCTTGATAAATAATTTGAAATTAGCTGCAAATAGTAGGACCCCTTATAACCGGTTCACATGTTTGGGCATAATATAAAGGATGTGGCCAAATACTAACTGCCTCAGAAAAAGAAATACCAAATAATACCACCTGCAATATCTATAAAGAATATGCTTACTAAATATGGGTCACAGTTTGGGAATTATTTACGAACTTCAATAGCTAAAATAACAACATCCCGAGCACACATCTCCATAGCTTTTACAGTACTGATTAGCACTGTGGCTTGTCTCTCAAAAACCCTTTTTGTCAGCCTATTCCTCTTCCTTAATAAGCAATAGAAAACAAATAATCCCAAAAAGGATAACGCAAGAAAACATCTCAAAGAAAAACCAGACATAAATCAGAATGCCAGGTGGCACTGGATTATTTTGAGGTATGTTTCAAGCTATATTTGAAGTACAGTAGCAAACTACCAATTAAAATAAATTATGAATAAACCAACAGAGATTCTCAAGATCTACAGTGCTAAGAATGGAGTGTTTCCTAGTGTTTATCACAACGATACACCCATTCGACAGTGTCTAGCAGACAATCACTGAGAGATTTCATATACCAACACCACAGTACGTATAGTGCTCAGAAAACACATATAACAGGAGAGAATAAAAAACCTAAGCTTTTAAATATTCTGGAAGTACTTAGCCAAAATAAAAATTATCATCTCCAGTGAAACACTCCAGATGACTGAAATTTCCTGCCATACTTAAAGACAGACAATAAAGTTCACACCATGTCATCAGCTTTCACTGACTTGAACAAACCCACTGACATCCATGTTTGTTAGTCGAGACATCAAATAAATCAAAATTATATTTTAACACCAAGTAACTAGTTAGTATCTAGAGGAAAACAGACAAGTAAGGGGCAGCTGCAATTCAACCGGGTATTTTGCAGGATCTTTACTAGTATCACTCAGAAAGCTGGACTGCTTTTTAGAAAGAGAAAATATCCTGTTCAGGAAACAAAGACAGACCTTTACATAGACATCTGCCAGGTCTGTAATCCTACACATTTGAGACCCCACAGTTGAAGCCTGCCTTTTTTTAATAAAGTTACACTGTATTCCGCAAAACAAATACAAGGAAATGAGAAAACAAGTAAATATTTACTCACCAGCCTTCTCCTTCTCTGAAATAACTGGCATAGCCTGAAAGAAAAAAAATAAAGGATACCACTGTTAAAAAAACCAAGAAAATTAGGGAAACATTGTAAAATCTTCAGGTAGATTTTATGAGTGTCCAGAAGGTCTGGAAAGAACCCAGGCCCCACAGTGTTAAGCACTCTGGAGAGAAACGTACAGTTCCCGTTTGAGTGGCTTATAGTCTATCATGAAACTTATTACTGTTTAAGAAACAAAAAGATTAGGAGAGAAGGGAGGAGATGGTGTTAAGAAGATCTTCCAATGATCACATTTTGAATTAATCATCCTAGAATACATGCCCACAAAATTCCACTGGGAAATTACCAGATAATTCTGAAGGAACGAAGACAAAAAAAAAATGTGGCTGCAGATGAGACTAAAATGCCAAACCTTTCTTACGCAGAACTCATGTAGAGTTCTGCCATTGACTCTATGTAGTTAGGACCTGAGCTTAAATCAATGTTGCTCTATAACACACTAATTTTTTACTTTTAAAATATTTTTTCAGAAAGAAGTAGTAAAAGTGTTTTCATACTGGCTGTTATTGTTTTTGGACTTGGAAAATTGTTTTTTTTTGCAATGAATGTAAAAATCTATTATGATTTCTTTCAGACCAATGCAGAAGTTCGTGAGTGTATTTTTCCCAAAATAAGTAGGTTACAGCTTGAACGAATAGTAAAATGGAATTTATATGGCACACATACAAAAAGAATGTGCACATTGATCAAGGTGAGAAAGGCTGGATGAGAAATTGGATTGGGTATGCAAAGTATGCAGAACCGCCATGTGAGTTAAGGTATGAATTTTACATCGCTTTCACTCCTGTCTGTTTAGCCTTTGTTCAGCAGATTTTCTGGCTGCAGATTTAAGAGAAATAGAAAGAAGGGAGCGATGGACAGAAATCACAAAACAACCAGTTTTAGACTTTCTGCAGAGTTTCTGAAACAGACTTTGAGAATTTCATTTCAGGATTTGATTTGTCCTGCTCTATAAAATAGCATTTTATAGCATTTCCTGGATGATATTTTGTACTGAGCTTCAAATAGAAAATGTCGTAGACAATATGTATTAATAAATTCCTTGTAGATTTGTAATATCCATAAGAATCCTTTTGTGATTCTTTCTGTTTTACCTGTACTCTGACTAGTTAAAGATCTATTGCTTGAGTTTGACAGTCAAACCTGTCATACCATCAGACTAATATTATTCAAAACAATAGCAGCCCCTTGCTTGAAGAGCATTTCCCTTGCCTTGTACAAACACACATATTTTCTCAGAGGCAGCACCCTTTTGGTCCAGTAATGCAATGAAGGCATTAACTCCCATAGATCAAAGAAGATTAACATGCCAAAGAAGCAATAAACTCACAGAACAAAATGAGGTATCAGTTGCAAAGAACGAAAAAGTATCTCATATATATATATTTTTAAAATAATTAGTAGAATTTTGAAAACCAGTATGTAATTTTCTTCTCTTTCCCAGACCTAAGTGATTACACTGGCCAAGAAAAATAAGCATATGAGAAAGAAAACCCCAGGTTCACTATTATGATTTGTCTGAGAAGGAAATTTGTAAAGAGAAAAATTTGTCAAGAGGATAAGGTGAGAAACAAGCAAATAGGAAAAGTAAACCAAACAGAAGAAGAAAAAAAGAATAAGGAAACAGTATTAATGGGATGGAAGGGTCATGACAGAAGAAGGAAAGATGGGGGCAGGTTATTATCACATTTTAATTTTGAGCTTTGTTAGCCATAAGAAAACCCAAAGAAGATGGGATGGCATTCTTTAAGATAAGTTTAGAAGACAATGTTGAGATGATTGGAGATGTGGTATCACTGTCAGCATTGAAATCGTAAGCTCTGTCATGGAAAATAGACGACAGTTGGCTGGGAATAGCCTTTGTAAGGTCTAAAATATAAGGCCAAGATGAACAGCTGTGATTCTGTGGACTGGGAGGAAGCAGTTACAGGATTCAATGGGGATGCGGCAGCGTGACGAGTATGGAAGATAATTCTCTGGTGGCTTTATCGCAGCCTTAAGTGGACTTCACTAATGTTGTCTGTAAATGCAGTGTGAGTCATTGGTAGTGACTTTGGCCTGAATGAACACTTCTGAATCAGCTCCCATGATCATTTGTATCAGCATGCAGATTTTTTTTTTCATATCAGATTTTAAAACATTGTTCATCCTGCCATTGGTCAGTTCAAGATATTTCGTGGAAATATGCAATATTTCTAATTCATGATCACTAAAAAGTTGATTTACAATCAAATACAAGTTTTAGGAAATTTGTAAGATGCTAATCCTCAAGGTCGTTAGAGTAGTTTAATAGGTTTAGCCCAGGTAAAAAGCTGTAGCTGGAAATACAAAGAATCACAATGCCTCAGGACAGATGTGTAAGTCACAAAATTAGTATTTCTGTTAACTAGGATGAACAAGCAATGTAAATTAGAGACAATTCAAAGGCAGAGTGAGGTTTGCAGAGAAAAGTACTGCTTCTTATGTTCCTGCAGCAATTCACTAAGATTGATGTTGGAGAGACCAGTGTGGGTTATACAATCTACCGAAAGTAAGAATTCCAAAATCAAGTCATGTGCAAGAAAAAAAAAAATGCTACTAGACTATTCAGATGAAGAAATACATTCAAAATGATAGCACCACAAAGTATGTAAGTTTTCCTAAAATAATTAGGAAAAGGACCTCATACAGTGGTGACTACGTCACCATAATTTTTGACTGCTCCAGGTCCTCCGTAGTGCATTATGTAAATACAGAGATTTCTTTTTATTGCCTCACTTTTCTTTCTGAGAACAGACTTTGCCCACTTTTTCAGCAAAACATGGTTACATTTCCTTCACATGCTTTTAAAATTAGAAGAACTAATTGTCTCTGATTTGGTCTTATTGATTAACCGCACAAGAAAATAGTATAGTATTTTCCAAGAACCAAATATTCATGTGAACCCAAGTAAAAAAAAAAAGAAAAAGAAATTATCTCTAAAAAACCCCTTGTAGTAGCATCAAATTAATGAAAGTAAAATCTTTTCTTTAGATCAGAATAGGAAGCATATTTTTTCCAAAGTATATCAATATTCTTCTCATTGTAAAGACCACAGATAACATGAATGTTTGACTCAGAACATGGCACTGTGACATACTTATAAATTCTGAATCCATTTTTAGAGTTATGAAAGATGTTTTCCTTAAAATAATGTGTATAAACAAGTCTTACTCATTAATTCTTTACGATTTAAAGGAGAAATCATGTAGATCATATTTTTAGTCAAAGGTCTAGATTTACTTATTTTACAGAAAATTTGTAAGTCTTCTTATTTTATTAAAATATATAATAAATGTAAAGTCCCATGTTATAAGCCACAAACCAAAAAACACCCCCAAAACTACCCTCCATATCCACAAAGTACAAAGACATCTTGGATGATACTTTCAAATATGTCTGTTTTCCAAACAGGCTGTAATTCTGCTGCATCAAGACGTAAAATGAGAAAAAATTCTGTCAGAATGTTCTATTAATGATAAAAAGCTGAGGAAATGAAATCCTAAATGAACACAGCATTTCTCAAAAAATCTAAAATAAACCACAAAAGTATCTCGTTCAAGATCTTGGACACTCCTACTATTAGTTTAGTTTTTGTTAATACAGCTACACATGCTGCTTACATGCTGCCCAGTGGGAAAACATGATTGTTCCTTGTGAGAAATGCTCTCATCTTCAGCACAGTTCTGAATCCACTGGAGACCTTCTTCCAACGAGTTCCATATGTTCCAAATGAATTGCATTCCCAGGAAGTGATTTAACATTTCTGGCAACGGAGCAATTAAACCAGATTTTCCTGCTTGGCCAGATGGGTTCACTGTAACTTCACATTATTTCTCACTCTCCGCACAGAATTAAAGAACTGGACTAACAATTTCCACATGATCGGGTCACACGTGTTGAAAAAAAAAGTGGGCACATGCCTGTTTTACATCCCCTTCACAGATTTTGGGGGACACCTCCCAAAGCTGGGCTCCTCTTTATGTTTTTAACAGTGCGTGCTCTCAACAGCCCCAAGAAAGGGGAGAAAAAAGAAAAAAAGGAAAACTCTCTAGACGGATAATGTGGTATGATTTGCCTATCAGATCACTGCTGAAACATACTCAGGATTTTCCTTTTAAATTAGAGAACGTGATTTTTAACCTACACAAATCTTACTTGAAACATCACATTGAAAATTTTTGTATGCATCCTTGCTGTATTACACATGATTCCCTGTAAATATATGATGTCTGCAAATACGACTGTAAAGTGCATGAAAAATACTATATTGGATATTTTTCTTTAAAGTTGTAGTTGCAGATAGAAACAGTTACTAGAAATACTGGGTTTCTTTTGACTTTCATTAGAAATTAGGTGGAAAAGCAGTCTTTGAGCAAGAAAAAAAATGGTAGAAAATTCTGATATAACTTAAAATTTTTCACAAATGATAAGTTTTGTTTGATCAAATTCAAAACGTCTTTTTTTTTTCCCTGGGCTTCTAAGAATATTTTAACAGTAAAGAGAAGTAAATATGTAAATAAAGCCCATAATTTCAAACAGCAACCTTTCATTTTGGGCAAGTGCGGTTCTTCAGTGCTAAAAGAGAAAAGACAGAGTCCTTCCCCACTCCTCAAACTAGCTTCCTTCCATTACAGAGTCAAATTCAAATATTCCATCTCTGAGCTGGGCTAAAAAATTAGCATGGTAGCTTTCCGGATCAGAAGCAGTATAGTCAGTAGATGCGTGCGGTGTCTTGGTGGTGAAAAGGGGAGAGGCATTGTCTGCAGTGGTGAGGCTACACCGAACTGCAAGTCTGATGAGGAGCAACGGAGGGCACTGGGGTTGTTCAGTCTGGAGAAGAGGAGGCTGAGGGGAGACCTTATCACTCTCTACAACTACCTGAAAGGAGGTTGCAGTGAGGTGGGTGTTGGTCTCTTCTCCCAAGTAACTAGCAATAGGACAAGAGGC